CCAGGTACACGTCTACAGAAACGAATGTCTTTTTATAAGTAAATCAATAAATTGTTTTTTAAGGGGAATTTTCAAAGGTATTTGTAGCAGCATCAAAGTTAAATTATCATTCTTTACATGTGTATGTTTCCATAATGTTCTTTCCTGTCCTTTGTTCCTTTGTACTAGGATAAATTAAATTTCACGATTAATCATTATGGTACTTCACTGATCCATTGACTACAAAAAGATCTTATATTGACATTCATGTTCTGATTAATACCATAACATACATTAATTATATTACTCATAAAATAAATGTTTACCTGGGCTCAAGTCATATTTCCTCTCCTGTCACTACAAGCTTAAGAAAAAGAAACAGAAAAACATTATTATTATTTTCATTATTATCCCCATTTGTGCAGCACTAATTGCTGATGTACATGGCACAATATTACTCTACCTCTCATGATGAATATGGGGAAAATAATGTTAAATTTAGACAACACACAAATCTAATAATAAATAGGTCAGTGTTTGTCCAAGGTCACATCCAACTTCAATATGATGATTGTATGAAATATCAGGATATCCAGGTTATATTAACGTGGTATAACAATTGCATACTTGTAATTTCCTACTAAATTCTTATTTATTATTATCTGTTTCTTAGAATATGTATTGAAATTACTGCAGAGAGAAAAGTATATGCTGCACTACTAGGCCTCAAAAGCTGAGTTTTAATCTCTTGAATGTAGAACTTCTTCCATAGTGTTTCCTTTTTTATATCAATGAGAGCTATAAGGATGAGAAAACCGATGGAATATTGTGTTTTTCAGTTAATATTAATCAGCCTAGACATATTATTTCAAACTTGACCTGTTGCAGCCATTGTTTAATTCTGCAGTATCTGTTCTAAAAAGACACTTGTAACAAATCTTAGTGTGGGTTAAGTAAGATAGCAAATGCAAAAACATGAATTCTCCATGTAACGTACTACCGTTCTAGAAGTATATTGTTTTAATGTGAGGATACATGGGGTGGGTTAATGAATCATAATGAAACTTCTTAATACAAATAGGGCTGTATAGGTAAAAGGATTACAGAGGATAAGCTTCTTTATGACTCAGTCAATTCTAAACATGCCCACCCCGCTCCACAGGCATTTGTCATTTTTTAATTCGAAAGCTGCAAATGCCTGCACCCACTGTGGGGCCAGTAGATACATACAAAACCTCACCATGGAAATAAAAGTTGGAACAAATGCCCCAGTATCAAAGCAAAAGTTACATGTACGTCACCTTGTAAAAAGCTGAAAATTGTTACTGTCAAACTCCAAAAACAGTGAACACCTGAAAATTTTCAGGAATGTTGCTTGTGTACTGGCCAAACACAATTAAGTTTGGGAATATGCAAGCAAAACTCTAAACCACAAACTAATTACCATTGCTGTTTGTGTGTAAGTTATCTCGCGCCTTATTGCCTGATTCTCGTAACAAAATAATATTCCATAAATATTTCTGGTGTTCATGGTTTTGTGAGTTTCACAGTAAACATACTTAACAACTTAACTCAGCAACCTTACAGTTTTCCTGATATCCATACAGACCCCAAAGACACTGCAAAGAGGACAACTTTACAACCCAAAATTACTTTATAAGATAAACTTTCCATGGTAGACTTGGCAAACAGTATGGCATATACAGAGTGCATACATAAGTACAAGTTTAGATGGTACCCCTTAAGGGGGTAAGGTTAATTAAACAATGAAAAATTTCCTACCCAAATGAAGCTTTTGTCAATGAAAAATGCCCACTGTAGGAACAAAATGCCAGAAAAATTCCCAGGGAGAATGGGTATGCTTGGAATTGACTGAGCATTAGGATAAATGAAATAAATATATTTACATGTACAACTACACAGCATTTGAATTGAGATAAAATCTTTCCAACACAGCGTAGAAGTACAACACAATAAAAGAAAGGATGATATTCTGGAATCGAAAAAATGCAACTTTTCAAAAACACAATGAGTCGGATTTTTGAATTGCTGTTAAAACTCGTTGTAGCACATGCTGGCTGTTTTGTTAGCTTTTTCAAAATGTCTTGTTGACGTTGTCAAGCATTATCAGAAAATATTACAGCTCAGGGTTCAGTATGAAAGCCACTGTAAATAATTAAAAGCAAAATAAAGAAACGACACCAATTAATATGCAACGAAATAATTCTTTCACAACACACTCCTCAGAAGACTGGATCTAAACAATTTTCGGTTAATGATTATTGAATTATGATAGCATCGTGTTCGCGTCCCCCGAGCTTTCTCGACCAGTGAAGAAAAAAATGAGCTTACACAGGAAATGTTTAAGTTTGTTTCCCCTTGTGACATCAATTTACACGGTTGAGAAAAACATGAGGTCAATTATCCTGTACGACTAGACGCATTTTACAATTAAAGAATTTGAATTCATTACTTATCCTTTTTATCTCCAGTATCTCGTTCGCGCTTTTCGAAATGGTTTCATCCGAAAAGTACCAATACACACTGAAACTAAGCCAACCCTTCACTAACAATAAGACTAAGAAAAGACGAATCGTTTTGAAAAGCTAACGGCTGCGCGCCAAAAAACCGAGAAGCGATTTTAATGGCATTTAGTGACATGCAGATAAGTAAGACAAGGGAATTAAAAATAACATCATGCACGCATAATAGTAGACAATATATTCAGCATATTCAAAGAAACCTTACCTTTTGCGTAAACATGAATCTCATGAATCCTCCTAACCGCCATTGAACCGTACCGCCTGGAAAGACTGCCAAATTTCTAGTGATGCCAGTTATCCAATGGCGGAGCGTAGCCTGATTTCTAATTTCTATAAACAGCGGTGCCCACGTGCAGATTTTGTGGTCAGCGGTAAATAAATCATCAGCGCGCGACTCCGCGCGCACAATTCGCGCACAAAGAAGATTTCTAGCAAATTAGAGGGATAAAATACCTCCAGCAAGAATTTTTGATACATTTGATAAATTCTTGACCGTAGATTTAAGACTTTACTTCCCAGGAGAACAGCCGAAACCTCAGTTCCCAGCCAGCAAAATTTTCTCTGTAGAACAGATATTGTGAGGAACAGATCCGTTGGGTGCCCCTGAAAAGGGGTACCTTTCTCAGGCTTCAGGTAAATGATAGGGTAGGGGTTTTCCTAGTTGAAGTATATGAAAGGGTTGGGAAATCTGTCATCATGGTCTCTGCAAGGACCTGAAAGGGCTGACAGAGGCATTTTATGACTGTGCAAAAGACAAGTAAACTCTCTGGTTTAGTCAATCAATCAGTTTAAAGTTTAACGTTTACTGACGGCATCACGGATTGTGTTCACGGATACGTTGTCGAGATCATGGCGTTTCTTATTCATTACCGTAAAGTTCCTGACAAAATGTAACAAAATTTCAGGGAGGTTAGCAAATCTCGAACATATCGACCACCAAGAGAGGATAAAGCTTTATCCTCTATTGCGACCACCGAATTTATAACGTTGCCTGGAAAGTATTTCCCTTTTCACTAGTAATTGTTTTAAAGTTCTTAACGCGCTTACCCTCTCGTAGACTTTCATCAAAACTTTGGCCTATTTCTCTGGACTCTTTGTTTAAGGATGAGATGTTTTTTTGTTGCAAGTACTCCTCAAAAAATAGATAACATCAATCGAGCAATACGTAATATCTTCCGTTCAGTTTTAGTCGGAAATTCAGATGTCTCGCCTTCAGATGGCCGTGAACGCCACAATTTTAGTTCACTTTTCTCCAAGCAGTTTCTTTCCCATAGATTAACCTCGTTTCCAAGCAAATATGTGTTATCACCATGACGCCATTAAACTCTAAAATCAAAATAGCGAGACCTTACTTTTTTTTAATCTGCATGAGGTTGAATGTGCCCGAGAAGTAAATCTTTGTAGAAGTTCCAGCCCCGTAGCGTCTTTCAATTTGAAAATAAAGCATTTTGAATGTCCGAATTTTCCCAGTGCGTGAAACCACGGTGGTAATCAAACCTTGTAAAGATGAAGTATAGACTTCCCTCTCTTGCTACGAGAAAGAAAGAACCCTCGTTGCAGCTGGTCATCAGAAAATGAATGTCAAATTTCACAAAATTGCATCTTATATACACATGAAATTTTCAGAATTTTACTTGTGTTTTCACAATTCTTGTGAAATTTGACATTCATTTTCTCGGACTCCCATGAGAAATTTTCTTTGGTGTTATTACAATTGACTAATTACATCTTTAGCCCTTGAAAAATGTAAAAAAGATCTAGAATGCAATATTCTTTAACTGATTCTGGTACAAGGTTTTTGTCCACTGCAAATTAATATGACTCAATTCCTGGTGGATTCTGTCTTAATAACTTTTATTGCGGTTTAAAGACGAGGGTGATCCTGGCTCTAGCTACTGAACTCTTAAAACTGTAAGTGGAGTAATAAAAGCGACGTTATCATAGTGACCTCTTTTATACGGACACCTCTCTAATACGGACACTTCGCTCTGTCCCTTGGGTGTTCGTATTAGAGAGGTTCGACTGTATTCGATTCTAATTCTACAGTAAACATGACGAATCGCGCTATCTCTATCAACTGTAAGATTTCAGTGTAATCAAGGTCAGTTCACGAATAAGTCCTATGCGCCCTGTTCCATTGGACGGGTATGTTGCAAATTTATGAACCCTAAAGTGGTTTATTAATCACGTTTCCTTTGTTCCCTTTTCCATTTTTCTATCACAACCGTTATTGCAATTAGGTGCATGTTATGTTTATATACACTGTATATATCCGAAGATCTAACACAGTGAAGAAAGTAAATATATTTTTTTACGTTTTAAAGTTGATTTATATTAACTATCTTTTTACAGTGTCATTCCATGCCATTAGAGCTGGGTGGTTCAGTTGACTGACTTGACTGTGGACTGTATCACAAGCGGGGTCCTGTGCAACACTCGATCCAAGTTGTAACTTCTCTAACATTATTACTCTGAGTTATGTATCTCCGAGGCCTTCTTACACTTCGAAGATTCCGAAAAGCTGTAAAGCGTTTGATTTTCGCGTTAACTGTGTGCTCGATCTCGTTTATTCTACTCTCCAGTAAATTTTGGCGAAGACATAGCGACAATACTGTTAAGGAATTCTCCGCGTTTCCAGGGATGATCAGTGGCGCTGGCCAACAGGATCTCTGTTCTTGCGACGAGAATACTGTTGCAGTACGTGTGTCAAACGCAGTTCTTAATGTTCACGTTTGGCGAATGCAATGCGGTTCAAACGTAACATATTTAAAAAAGTCACCGTTCTTTCCAAAATATCCTGATCAGCAGAAGTTCGTCAACGACTTTCACATTGAAGACGACAGCGTGGACTACGGTCAGAAAATCTTTGGATATTTACATCCACAAAGTAATGGTTTGTATCGTTTTGCGATCGCCTCTGACGACACCTCGGAGTTATGGATAAGTACAGACGAATATCCCGAAAATAAACAACTAGTTGCCCGTGTGTTTAGTGAAAAAGAAATAGCTTGGACGGGTAAGGACGAGTTAGATAAATATCCTGAACAGAAAACCAAAAAGCCACTCTATCTTCAAGCTAATACGAAATACTACGTCGAGGTTTTACACCAACAAGGCATAGGCAAAGGGTTCGTGCGTGTATTTTGGACTATATCTGACAAAGATGAAGATTTTAGACTCATCACTTCAGAATATCTCTCGCCATTTTTGCAGAATACAACGCATATAACTAAGAAAAAAGTAACACTCCACAATGTGCTTTCGCAGCAATATCAGCAAGAGTTTCAAAAACAATCCGACCGAATCAGCAGCAAATTTGTCAAGTTTTATTCTCTGCCTTTCATTTCGAAAGCTAATTTTCTAACTTCCTGCGATTACAATAGTAGTTTTATACCAAGAACTAAAGTTCATCGCTATAAAGGCGTGACAATGGTGTTTGAATCCAGTGTTTTCCCACCAGACGATACGCAGATGTCAAACGCCCCCGAATTGGGGAGGTGGGGCAGTCCAAATCGAGTCGCCGACAGCGAGGTAATTCGGTCAGTCGTGCATAGCCTGGTTGCTGCACTTCGTCTCAGTTCCTCAAAGTAAGTTAAATGAAAATTTCGTTTAATGTTTTAAGATATACCGTATTTCCTCTGATAAGCGCCCATGCTCTAACAAGCGCTCTCCCCCGAATAAGCGCCCACTCTGTAGCCAAAACACAGTAAATTCGGGTACTACTCGGTGTAAGACTGCCCACCGCCCAGCACATGAGACCGCGGAGTTGGTATGTGTTCTTCAGTGCTATTAAAGCCTACCGCTGCGGCTTAAATTTATTTATTTCGGTGGAGACGCTTCATTTTCAAGGTGCTAGCCGGTATTGCTGCAAAAACCAGTCTGCCAACACTGATGGGGGAACTCCACCACGCGACGCACAAAAAGAGATAAGAAAAAAGCGTTCAGTCGGACATTTTAAGCTGACAGCGAAGCTAAAAGGCACGAAGAAAATGAACAAGAATGTTTACTCATTGCCCTTGCATGTGTGCACTAGGCCTTTTCATATCTAGACGTTGTCGCATGACAGTAGACAGATGAAGCAAATTCAACGCTACGATTATCTCGTACCCAGATCTCTTGTTGACGAGAGATCTGGGTACGAAATTAACTCGACGACGGTAACGATGGCGCGTGCAGTTCAAAATCCTTATCAAACAGTGGCAGAGCGGCAAATTGAGCACCAGAAGTCACGTCGACTCCTTTCTGCGACAATAATCTCGTATCCCAGATCTCTTGTTGACAAGCCGAAGGTGCGAACTGGTCAAATCCGATTTGTGTACGTGATTGCCTGCCAGAAATGCAACAGGCGATGAAAGAGCACATGCTTGAAATAAATCATAAAAAAACAGGCCCCAATTTTTCCAATCCCCTGACACTTCATTCATTGCAACGGCTGCATGCCTTTTTCGCTTGCGATCATAATGCCTGTGGTAACACAAGGCAATAGCATGTTTTCCTTGACAAGTATTCTGCGCCGAAGTAACAACAATTCTTACATCGACGCCCGGGGGAGGAACTCCGCATATGAAAGGGGTGGGGATGCTCTTCGTCTCGCTTAAGGGTGTAAATTTCGGATTTTGGTCTGAGTTGGGGTGTTCTGGGCAAAACGCCATCATATTTCGTTTAGGGTTGCACTTGAAAAAATATAAAAAAATCCATATTGTCTGTGTTTTAACATGGTCTCTTTTAGGGGTCAAAAAAACTTGGGTCACGCCCAGATCGGTCTCCTTAAGGGATTTAATTCAAAATTTCCGACGAGCATCCCCACCCCTTTCATATGAGGAGTCCCCCCCGGGCATCGATGCTTGATTGATGATCCCTATGTTTACAAATTCTTCTAGCGTTTTTTTCACCTTTTCTTTTTCTTTCAGGAACTACATTTTGAAGAGAATTCACAAAGTTCTACAAAAACTAGATCCGGTTTATGGGGACCGTTATT